GTCATAAAGTTGGTCAGCTGCAGAGTGGAAGGGGGCAGGGTTCAAGTCGCGGAGGTTTCGACTGGTGATAGTTTGAAATTTGGTGGGGGGGTAGGTGTGTGAGGAGGATGAGGAGACGGAGAAGGTAATAAGGTTGTGGTCAGAAAGAGGAAAGGGGGTGTTTTTGAGGTTGTGGGGAGTGCAGAGATGAGAGAAAATAAGGTCCAGGGTGTTCCCATCAGAGTGGGTGGTGGACTTTATACACTGTGAGAGTGCAAAAGAAGAGGTTAAGTGGAGGAGTTGGGATGTAGCCGGGTTATTGATGTTGATAGGGATGTTGAAGTCTCCAAGGATGATGGTGGGTAGCTCAGAGGAGAGAAAGAAGGGTAGCCAGTCGGAGAAGTCGTCGAGGAAGCGGGACACGGGTCCAGGAGGCTGATAGATTACAGCAATCCTCAGAGGGATTGGAGAGAATAGTTGGATGCAGTGGGCCTCAAAGGAGGAAAAGGATAGAGAGGGGGGTTTGGGAGGACTTGGTAGGTGCTCAGCGGTGACAGGAGCATAAAAACCCCACCACCTTTTCGACCGCTGGGTCTGGGTGAGTGGTTCCAGATGAGACCTCCATAGGAGAGTGCCGCAAGGGAGGTAGAGTCAGTGGCTTAGATCCAGGTTTCAGTGATCGCTAGGAGGTTGAGGGAGCAGGAGACAAAGAGGTCATGGATGGCAGTGAGTTTTTTGCAAACCGATCGGGAATTCAGGAGTGCACACGAAAAAACGGGGGGGGTGGTTTTGGGGAGCAGAGGGACAGGTATTAGATTGAGGGGGTTGTGGCAGTTAGTGGAAGTAGGAGGGTGCCTTGTGGGTGAGCGAGGTGGTGGAGGACCAGGGTTCGGTGAGATGTCAGTTAGGAGAAGAAGAAGGGTGAGAAAGGTGGCATGGGAGCGGGATGTACAAGAGTGGCATGTGGAGGTGTTCGGAGTCAGTGGGAGAGAGTGGAGTATCAGGAGGAGGTGGTGAGAGCCGTAGAGGGGAGAAAGGAAGCAGTGAGTGCGCAATGTACAGTTGTTTGGGAGGAGCGGAGGGATATAGAAAAGAGATTTTGGGAACGGAGGAGAGGAGTATGAGGAGAGGAGTAAAGGAGGCATTTTAGGAAGGTAAAACGGGTAGTGGCAGACAAGTGTGGTGGAAAGTTTCTCAGGGTGCTTGGTTGCAGATAGTCTAGCGTGCAGTGGCGTATCTCATTGCTGTATCTTCTTGTAGCTAGAGTTCTCGTGCTTAGGATCGGGATGGGTAGAGTTCAGGTCGATAAGTTGTGGCCAAGGGTAGTCAAGCTGCAAGTTCCAGTTTGTGTAAGGCCTAGATTGAGGGGTGAGGTTTGGCTTGAGGAGATGAGGGGTGGACGTCAGCAGTGGAGGTGTTTCCCAGGTGGTGGAGATGAGGTGTAGAAAAGGTTGTGAGGGGTGGGCACCAGCTGTGGGAGTTGGGCGTAGTAAGGGCTGGGGGATCACAGAATCAACAGTCAGGCCTTCTTCCACACTGTACTCACGGGGGTCAACAGATGGACTTCAGGTCTGGGCAGGATTGCATCGTGGTAGGCAATGATAGGCCTCACCAGGTCGAGATCATCCGTTGGGCTCAGCAGGTCCGAGCAGGGTTGTCTCATGGTAGGCAATGGTAGGCCTCACTAAGCCGAGATTGTCTGCTGGGCTCAGTAGTGTGGAAATAAGCTCTCTTCAAGTCACTCTTTCGGGTGTGGATGGGTATGTGTGGGTGGAGCTCCTTTAGGCGATGGTAGGCCTCACCAGGCCGAGATTGTCTGCTGGGCTCAGTAGTGTGGAAATAAGCTCAGGCCAGGTGCTGTGGTAGTGTGGGTAGGCCCTCGGTGCTTGGTAGTGAGGTGGCCTCGGCTTAGGTGTCCCTTGCTCCTTCGCGGTAGGGTCAGGGAGACCACCGGTGCCCTTCCCCTGTCCTCAACTACCTGGGTGGTAGGGTTGTGAGGTGGGGGCTGAGTGGTGTGGTTGGCCTGGTGGTCTATGTAGCTTTGGGCCGTGCTGGGATGGCATGTGGCCTAGATGAGGGGGCCGCAGTGGGCTCTGTAGGCCAGGTGTCTGAGTTGCAGGCGGTAGGAGGCAGCGGAGTTGTGGGCGGTGGGAGGCTTATATGGCTGCACTCCCTTTTGGCTTGTATCCCTTATGGCTTGTGACTGTTATTGAATATCTGCGGCTGGGCCCTGCAGGACGGGCGCCGCTGCAATAAGGCTCCGGCGGGGAGGCAGTGGTGGAGTGGTGGGGAGGCTCGGCCGGTCCTCCTTCTCAGGCCAGGTGTGCCTCTGGAGCTTGGTGGGCTGTGGCTCGTTGTGCGTGGGCGGCTTGAGGAGGGGCACCGGAGCAAAGACGGACTGGTGCCCGCGTAGCTGGAACGGTGCCGCGTGGAGGACCGGGCAGGATCGTCTGCCGCGAGGAGGACCGCTCTCCCCTCCAGGTAAGGGAGGTTAGGGGAGACCACTGGAGGCTGCGCTCCCGGGGATGCGCGGAGGCGACCGGAGCTGTGTTCTATGCTGCTGCTCCAGTCGCCATCTTGCCTAACTAAGGTAAAAAACAATACATATTGGGACTTATATAAAGTATATTACAAAGCAAAATCATATTTCATATACAATACAACATTACTGCATAACTGCATCATAAATTACATAAATATTTTTATACTATACAGATTTAGCAAGGCAGAGGCTATTGTTCTCTTTACCTATACTGACGATCATCCCAGGTATGTGACTAGGACCAGGGTTCGGCACACTGCCTACAGGCGAATAAAATGTATCTGATTACAAACCAATAGCAAAAATTCATGCCCTGGTGGTTGATGGAACACCTATAAAGTTCCAATATGTATTGTTTTCTTCATCTATCTTTCTAGTTCAGGGTGTAGTGCTGATGGGTCAGTAGCAACTGTTACTATTTTAAGGACTTTATCCCATTTAGAACACAAAAATGCGAAATAAATAGGTATTGTAACCTGAAGTGACCCATATCAACCAATTGCATATAGTCTTTTCATTACTCTGATGACAGTAAATTGAAAATGACTAGTTTATACAGATTATTGCACATGGAATTACCCTTTTACTTGGCACTGTCCTACCAAATAAATCTACAGTAGTATAGAAAGAAACAGGAATTTCTGTCACAAACGACTGTCACGCGCTCTACAAAAAAAAATCATCAACTTATTTTTGGCAGCCAGTCAGAATCTGGTTGTTTTTCTTTAGGGCAATTTACAAAATGGAAACTAACACACAATTTGTTTCCACTGCAACATTGTTTATTTACTTGGTACTAGTTTAGGCCCAGTAAACTGATTTAAAGGAAACCCATAAATTGTCAAAGCTGATCCCTCCATCCAAAACTAGAATTTAATTGGCTGTCCTGCTGATACATGGGTTTCAATACATTCTGAGTCACCAAGAAGCCTACACATCAGTTTTGAATGCACTTTGACTCTTCTATCTCTCTATGGCTTCTTTGTTTTTACTGAAGCCAGAGACAAGCATTTTCAGAAAGAGCTTAGCAAAGCTATCTCTCCACATTACCCAAAGCTCAGCTGTCCTATAAAGCTTACGTTTAGTTATTTTTTTGTTGGTGTTTAAATTTTCAGTCCTCTACCCTCCCCCCCATACCCCAACACCCCCACAGCAGCAGTCTTTCTGTGCTGTGGCAATTAATACTTGCCATTGAATTAGTTATAAGCACTCATCAGCAGTGTTGACTATTCCATCGCTTTGTGCCCCTTCCTCCCTTCATAGAAGCTGTACTACAGCTTTTAGTAATGAAAAATGCTCTATAAATAGAGGACAGGTGGATGAATGAAAGGTCTGCCTCTTCCATTCAGCGAGCACTTATCATTGTGGGTAGTTGTAGTTCAGCGTTTCTGAATGGTGGGTGGAAAGGGCGGCATAGTCTGTGCCTATGACAGGCCCAGCAGCTCATGTTACCCTCTACAAAAGCACAGTGCTACAGTGGTTCATTGAAAACTACAAACAAATTACAGTGCATTCATTCACGTGAACTCTGTGAATGAATGACGTGGCTGTGTGAGCGGAGCCCAGCACGGTCGCTCTGTTTTCAAATCTGACAGATAGTACAATAGAAATTCTCCATCTACTTCTGTCAGAGGGAGAGGGGAACTGCGGGCAGCAGCTGCTGCATTGGGAACATGTTACATGTGACACCCTAAAAACAGGTGAAACGTAACATGTTCCCAAAGGTGAACTTATCCTTAATCTTTAAAATCACCCTTTCCTAATTACACTAGAATACTCATAGAAAATCTTTTATAAGCACTCCCCATAGTGAATGTATTAATCCCCTCCAAGTAACTACGCTTCTATTATAATTTTACTGACTACCTTTTTTATTCAATAGTTTTTATTTTATGTTTGTAAAAAGATGACCCATTCTGTATTAATTTTAGTATTGCAGTAATATGATCTCATGTTGTCACCTTTAATACTGTAACTGCATTTAGTATGATTCATCATCCACCTTTATATCTCTTTGTTATAACCTGCCATTGCGTTTTATACATCAATGTACAATGTGCTAGCTTTTTTTTCAGCTATCAATCACCTGAAAGGTATGACATGTCTTGCATTAGTAGTACCCATTTGCCATCAGCACCTTTTGTATTTGACTTCTAGCACTAATAAAAATGCTTTAACCCTCCAGCTGTACAAAATATAAGAATTTCCATCTTACTAACTATGCTTTCCTTTCTGCTTTTTAAAAGAGGTTCATGCAGATTGAGTTTAAAGTTCCTGTAAAAGAATTGTAAAAAAAAAAAAAACGACATATCATTTTAATGTGCAAACAACATTATTGCAATTAAAAACATTGCCTTTCCAAACCCCCCATTACCCTGAAAAACAAAACATAATTCATTTTTACACTGACTATACTATGGAATCTGCCTCTTTAGTTCCCAAATCCCTTCATTCCTTCTACCTGAAAGCTCCTCCCAAACCAGGGGCGGACTGACAACTCATGGGGCCCCCGGGCAATAGGGGATCATGGGGCCCATGTGTCCTTACCCACACTCAAACCACACCCAAAAAAGCCTATGAAAGGTACCAGGGGCATCTCATGGGGCCCCCTACTGACCCCGGGCCCTCGGGCAGTGCCCGAGTTCCCGAATGGTCAGTCCACCCATCCCAAACATATATACACTGAATATTTTTGTATAAATCAATGTACCAGTTAGTAAGTAAGTATATCCACCATACTGAAGGTTCAACAAGCACCTTTTGTATTGCAATTGAAAACATACTCAAATACTATTTAATGCTGAACTCTAAGCCCTGGTTCACATCACTGCGACTTCAGATGCAACTTGAGATTTACAAATTATACCTGAAGTCACATCTAATGTACTGTATTTCTATGGCACTGTCTTAATCAGTGCGATTTGAAGTAGCGCAATTTAAAAAATAGTTTCTGCACTACTTTTTTATTGCATTTTGCATTGACTTCTGTTACACCCTGGTCACATCGGGTGTGACTTGCCATGCCATGCGAGTTGCAAATCGGATGGCAAGTCGCACCCTATTGTTCGAAGTTAAAGCGGTCATATTGGTGCGATTCTGACTTGGTCAGAGCTGCACTGATTTCTAAAGTAGAGGGGATGTCTTGCAAGTTGCACCTAAGTCGGAATGACATCCGACTTTGAAATCGTGCGACTTCACTGGAAGTCGGATTGGTTGGTGACCGGGACCTTAATGAAGTTGCAAGCCACAGTGAAATCGGAGGTACAAATCACACTGATCTGCAGCTTTGAAATTGCGCTAGTTCAAGTGAAGTAGCGCAATTTCAAAGTTGCATTCAGTGTGAATCAGGGCTAAGTCTTTACAGTTGTATAGGCTCCACTTCTAATCTGCAATGGCTTATTGTGATTTCATTGCACAACTTTTTTTTCTCAGCTTAGAAACTTCAGCAAGTCAAACAGAACCTGCCACATTTGTTGGCTGAAGGACATCCAGCATTACCTAACCCTTTCCTCCCCAACCTTATTGTTCCTGGCCTGCTCCTTTCATTCATTAGATTGTAGTTCATTCATCTATGGAGGATCAGCATCACATGTGTGTGTTACTTAGGACAGTCTGTATGCAGATAAAACTTGCCTAGGAATATATCCACTTCTCCGCAAGGGCATCAACCGTCAATACATTTTAAAACATGCCTGCATTGCATAGAAAAGCACAAAGATACAGTGATAAAGTCACTGAGTCTAAAATAAGATACACAATTTTAACAAAATGTTTTATTTAATAGTTTCTTCAGCATGATAATGGAGGTGGGGACCAGGGATGCAAAATATAAGCAGATTAAACTTTAGCTGTAAAACAAAACCAATATTGTTTAAGGCTGGGTTCACATTTGTACGTGAGCATTTGCATGTGCACATTGTGGGTACAGTAGCCCATTCATTTAACCACTTCAGTACCGGGCACTTTAACACCCCGGTCACATCGGTGCAACTTGGCATGCAATTTGCATGCCATACATCTTGCAAATCATATGCCAAGTTGCACCCTATTGTCCGCTATTAGAGCGGTCATATCGGACTTGGTCAGAACCGCACTGATTTCTAAAGTAGTGTCAGATGTCTTGCAAATCGCACCTGAAATTGGCAAGTCACCTGACTTTGAAATCGCGTGACTTCACTGTAAGTTGCACAATTTCAAAATCGGGCTTGATGTGACCAGAGACTTACCCCCTTCCTGCCCAGGCCAATTTTCAGCTTTCAGAGCTGTCACAATTTGAATGACAATTGCGCAGTCATGCAACACTGTACCCATATGAAATTTTTATAATTTTTTTCACACAAATAGAGCTTTCTTTTGGTGGTATTTAATTACCACTGAGCTTTTTTTATTTTTTTTTGTTAAATAAAACAAAAAAAAACTAAAACTTATGAAAAAAGCATTTTTCTTTTGTGTTATAAAATTTTGCAAATAACATTTCTTCATAAATTTAGGTCAAAATGTATTCTGCTACATTTCTTTGGTGAAAATACCCCAAATTAGTGAATATTATTTAGTCTGTATAGTTATAGAGTCCACAAACCAAGGTATATACAGTATATATGGCAACTGATCAATCCTGATGTACTAGCAGCCCATCTCATTTCTTGAGGCCCAAAAATGCCAGGATAGTACAAATACCCCCCAAATCACCCATTTTTGGAAAATAGATAGTTCAAGATATTTAGTAAAAGGCATGGTGAGAATTTTGGAGGTTGTAATATTTTTTTTTTTTCTACATATTGTCACCAGTCCAGTACAGCGTTGTTATATAACTGGTGTGGTGGTGATCAGAGACACCAACTGGCAACAGTATGTATACAATTTTTCTAATATGATTTTTATTCTTTATTACATTATTTTATCTTTTTTTTACTGTTTTTACCAAAGCAATTCAATGTTACCATAGTAACATTGAACTACTCTGGCAAGTTATCAGTATTTTTTTTAACACATTATAATTGCTAATACCAATGTATTTCATTGATAGTTGCAGTCATTGTTAGTGAATGAGACTGATTCATTCAATCTTTTGTTGTGATTAGCTGTGACTGGGCAAAGCTCATCACATGATACAGATGGGCTGTGATTGGCCCTGTCTGTATTATGTGACTGACTGCTTTGACCAGCCACAGCTAACAACATAATTGTATATAATGGATGGCATGACAGGAAGCCATCCATTGTATACAATGGACATATGATCTGCAGTGATTGGCAACAGGCCAGTGTAGTGATATGTTATCGGCTGTGTCCCATGGATCTGAGCTGAGTGGCCCCGCAACCATGTGAGCAGCTAGTTTTGACAGGATGTCATATGACGCCAAGTCACAACAAGGAGTGTCCCGCCCCTCCATCAGTCTGCTATATGCCAGGTTGGAAGGTGTTAACCTCCTTAGCGGTATTCCCGAGTGTAGCTCGGGGTAGTGATTCAGTACCAAAAGTGGTCACCCCAAGCTACACTCGGGCTTACCATGCAGGATTGCATAGGGAGTCACTGCAGCGCTTACCTTGTCCTTCGCTCCCGCGATGCATCCCCTGCAGTGTCCTCGTCCATGTCCTCCAGCTGATGCCGGCATCCAGCTTCCGTGTTCCGGTCCCTGTGATGTCAGGACGTACGGGTGCCAGAACCGGCAGCAAATTTTAAATTTGTAAAAAATTTCATTTTTTAAAAAATGATTATTACATAGTAAAACATTGCTGTTTCAAAACATTTCACATACATTTTGTCCCTACTGCTTTGTCTTGTCCCCTGCCTGCATTTTGACTGTTCTTTCTGCCTGGAAACTGAGAAATGTCCATGGCGTCCAAAAAGCGTCCCTTTATGTCAAAAGCAGTTTTAGACCAGCTAGAGAACAGCGATAGTAAATCAGAACCACTTGCAGAATTGAGTGATAATGATTCGTGGGGAAATTCATCATCAGGCACTGAAAACGATTCTGCGACTTTGCTCAGCGATGTGCGAACTTGGCGCTATATTTCAAATTTCAGTGTTTTTGGTTTGATTATATTATTTAATTAAATTTACTATTATATTATTATTTTTTATGATTATTTATTAAATTATAATTTATGATTTTGTGTTTCAAGTTTTATCATTTTCGGAATGTTTACTTGACTCTTGTTCAGACAGATTTCAGTGAGTTATTCCTAAATTACAGGCCTACAATACAAAAAAATACATATTTCCATGCAAAAAATTGGTACCGCTTTCAGCACCAAAAATCTGAAATAATCATACTGCTAGGGAGGTTAAAGAAAAGAAGTTCATAACATTTTTTTAAAATGTGCTGCACTGAACCACATTGTGCTGTTGGTTCCCACATGCAAAAATGCAGGAATTTTACTGATTCATGGGGGTTCCATTAAGAATGAATGGCACCCCTGTATGTCTGCTAAAGAGTAGCACATTTTGCCTGTGGATCAAGAACATGCACGACTAAGCACACATTCCTGACCTGCATATACAGTATGTGAACCTAGCCTAAGTGTATTGAAAGTCAATGTATTTATCTTTTTGTGGATAGAGTAGGGAAGAGGTTGCAAATCAGGTTGTCATTGTTGAATATCAGGTTGCAGTGTTGTGGCAAGCACCAATCCTACTCACACACACACACGCACTTCTCCTGTATAAGGCAATCTCCGTATTACCTCTAGGTAGACTTGGCAAAGTCAGCCCTTCGAAAACGTATAGCCATGCCCACTGCTCAGCCCCAATGTGATGTTATCTGGGAGTTTCCCTGAAACACACTGTACCTGCGTACAAAGCTCTGGTCTGTTCTTCAGCTGCAGCTATTCCTCCATCTGGCAGTGCTGCCTTCCAGGACTACAAGTGTTTACACAAAGTGGTGTCCATGCTGGCGAGTGTTGAGTACCTGCCTATTCTATTCTAATTTTGCTTTTGGTTTTACTATTAAAGTTTTTAACTCTACTGCACTTAGTATATGTTCTATTTCCCTCACTTTAGAGACATTTCTTCTCATTTCCTGTGGAGTCTATGGAACTTCTCCAGGACTTCTCTAGAGTCTCCCCTATCCTCTGGAACCCTCTACCCTAATCTAACCGACTATTGCCTACTCTTACCACATTTAGGTGATCTCTGAAAACCTATCTCTTCAGGGAAGCCTATCCTGCCTTCAGCTGAATGGGGTTCACACTGATGCGGAATTTGCAGCCTTTTCTGTGCGAATTCCACACCACATCACATTGCACTCCATTCATGCAAAATGCTGCAGGTGTGTATGTTAAGTTAACAACACCCCCGAAATCAGTCTGCAAAATGCGGTGTGATTGCAGAATCTGATTGCATGGGTGTTAATACATATGTGATCTGATTCTAGTGCGTACCAGTAAAAGTGTCCTACAACTTTTTGGTGCGGATGCAGGGCGATTAGAGCCATACAAAATGTATGGCTCCAATTGCACCGCACACAATTCGCATGTGATTTGCACAGTGCCCGAGTTTCCAAATGGTCAGTCCTCCCTTGTTTACCCCTAATAACAACTTAATTCAAAATAGTGCTCATGTTTCTTCAGCCTCTAGCCTTGCTCATGTTTCTTCTTGCTGAAGATTGACATTTTGCTGAAGTCCAGAACCCATGAACAGCAGTAAATCGTTACACTGACGGCAGATTGGACTCTATAAGTTTGGCACAGTGCCTAAAAATAGAGAGCAATGGAGTATGAACAGATAAGGGTGAGAGAGTGTATTGCTGGATTTTAAACAGTATAGGCGCTTATTTTTATTGTTTTACATAGCTATACCTGCAAAAGGGGCCAGCCTGAAGTGATCTAGCAGGACTTGATTTTCTGACCAAATTTCCACTTTAAAGACTAGAGCTGTGGAATCTTTGCCTAAAAAAGGCAACCAGAGGCCAATGACTAGTCAGCAGTATTGCCTGTAGCAACCTTCAGGTGGTCTTTTCCCCATTACTGATCTGACATGCCTTGTTATTCACTACATTGTTGTGCAGTGGCAGCCATATTGGTAGAAGAGCAAGAATTTACTTCCTTATGTCAAAGCTGTCTCTCTGATGACTGGTGGGGGTCATTATCAAACAGTTGCAAGAGAAGCAGAGGAAGCACAGATCTACAGAATCAATAAAGAAGTAGTGACATACAGTAGACATTGGCCAGAGAAACCACTAAGCGGAGAAAAGAGTCCAGAGATTTCAGTGGATGATTCTTCTTCAGCAGAGCTAGGTTTGGTGACATGGGCAGTGGTAAAGGTAAGTTTTTATTTTCTTATTTTGTAAGATATTCTTTTTGACTAATTTGATATTTCTGGCAGTTTCTCTTTAAAGTGTTTGTAAAGCTTGAAGGTTTTTTTACCTTCATGCATTCTATGCATGAAGGTAAAAAACCTTCTCTGTGCAGCAGTCCACCATCCCTTCCTAATACTAACCTAAGCACCCTCTCAATCCAGCGATGTGCACTGTGTCTTGGCAATCCTAGGACTCCCTCTCCTCATTGGATGAGACAGCAGCGGGAGCCACTGCTCCCGCTGCTGTTAATCACAGCCAGCCAATGAGAAGAGAGGGGACGGGGCCAATGCACAGCTCTATATGAATGAACACATGGAGCAGGGGTGCCCCCATAGCAAGCTGCTTGCTGTGGGGGCACCCGATAGATGGGAGGAGCCAGAAGCACTAGTGGGGGACCCGAGAAGTAGAGGATCTGGGCTGCTCTGTGCAAAACCACTGCAGAGAACAGGTAAGTATGATGTGTTTGTTATTTAAAAATAAAATTAAGTCTTTAATATCACTTTAAAGTAAGGGATCATTCAAACTACAGTATCTGAGGTAACCTACATTATTTCACACCAAATGTGATTTTTAACCTCCTCTCAATGGGATTTTAAGGACAACCAACAGAATATAACATAGTTTAACCACTTCAGTATTGGGCACATTCACCCCCTTCCTGCCCAGGCTCAATTTCAGCTTTGGGTACTGATAGACTGCACTTATAAGGCTGCACTGATGGGCACTGATGAGGCTGCACTGATGAGCACTGATAGACTACACTGATGGGCACTGATAGGCTGCACTGATGGGCACTGATAGGCTGCACTGATTATCAGTGTAAACAAATCGATGACAGTCTTGCTGGGTATCATCTGTTTCTTCCTCACACAGACACAGCTGATCACATGGTAAAGGGCCGCTGTGATTGGTCCTTTATCCAAAGGACACAGCAGTCACAGAGTGCATCTGATGCGTGCCCCAGGGGGAGCTCGAGAGGTGCATTCTGGGTGGACATTTATAAACACTCTCCCAGAACAAGAGAACTGTGCTGTAGCCGTATTTCAGCTATAGTGCTGTATTAACCGCTTAAGGACCGCCCTGTAGCAGATATACTGCTACAGGGTGGCACCTGTGCACAAAATAACATATATATATGTGATTTAGCATTTCTGGGTAGGGGGGTGATGTCAATCACTGGGTCCCAGCCGGTAAATACCCACCGGCGCCTGGTGATTGCCAAGCATCTCTGATGGGGAGGAAGATTGTTTTGTTTACAAATAATCTTCCTCCCTGTCAGCTCGAGCACACTGCTTGGGATGGCTGTGCACAGTACAGCCATCCCGATCAGTGTGCTTACAGTGAATAACACACCCCCCACCCCCTAGTACAACACACATAGCACACAGTTAATGCTTTGATCGCCCCTCACATTAAAGTGGTTAGAAAATCTTAGTATTGTTATTGATAATTCTTATATGGCAAAAACATTTTTTCATAAAAGCAGTTTAATAGTATAGAAAGAAACTACAGTTGTATTGAAATAGCAGGGCAATGCAGTGCCCCGCTGTGTAGTGACATGAATGAAGTGTCACTAGATGACACACCAAATAAAGTTATAAAAAATACAAGCATTCAAAATGTTCTTTGCCCTGCTTCCTACTGGAGCCATAACTGCACTAGCCTGCACAGGATTTTGTGAATGTAGCCTAAGAATTTGCAACACAGCCTGGGATGGTGTGGATCCATGACTAGTAATAGAGGAATGGTGTATAATCTCTCCCCTGCTTCAATACAACAGTAGTCTGTTTATTAACCACTTGCCCTCCGGAATATTTACCCCCCTTAATGACCAGGCCATTTTTTACTATTCGGCATTGTGCTATTTACACTGCTAATTGCATGGTCATGCAATGCTGTACCCAAACAAAATTTATGTCCTTTTCCACACAAATAGAGTTTTCTTTTGGGGTATTTGATCACCAATTTTTTTTTTATCTTTTGTAATATAAATGAAAAAATACTGAAAATTAAAAAAAAAAAACATATTTTTTACTTTTGGGTATAAAAAATATATAGAAAACTCAAAGTTGGTCAAAAATTTAGGCCAAAATATATTCTGCTATATGTCTTTGGCTAAAAGAAAATCCCAATATGTGTATATAAATTGGTTTGTGTGAAAGTTATAGCGTCTACAAACTATGGTATACTGTATATATTTGCATTTACGCAGCATTTCTGATTGCCTATCACATTTTTTGAGGTGCTAAAATGCTAGGACAGTACAAAAAAAACCCCAAATGATCCTTTTTTGAAAGTAGACACCCCAATGAATTTTCTGAGAGGCATATTGAGTCCATGAAATATTTTATTTATTTCCCAAAACTTTTTAGAACAGCAATTTTTTTTTTTTTGTACACAAAGGTATCAGTTAAATGATATATTGCTCACGCATGCCATAGGTATTTGTGCATTAACATCCCAAAACACATTCTGTTACTTCTTCCAAGTATGGAGATTCCATATGTGAGAGACTTTTTTGCAGCCTAACCATATACAAGCCTTCAAAATCCAGTGACCACCTCCAGGCTTTCAAAGGGCATATGTCCTCATATCACTTCCTCGACACTCTATCTCAATTTCTCAATTTTGGAGACCCTTAAAATTCCAGGATAGTTGAAACACCCTCCCCCCCCCCTTAAATGACCCATTTTTGGAAAGTAGACACTCCAAGGAATTTGATAAAGGGCATGGTGAGTATTTGCAGATATCAATTTTGTTACAAGGTTTTGAAAAAGTATAAATGAAAAGAAATAATACATTTTCATTTTCTTTCTTTGTTTTCCAAAAACTTGTGGCAACAAATGAGATCTGAAAAATACCATGCCTCTTGGCATTGTATGGACACCATTAGAATCTTATGCCAGATATCACCCACTTTTCTAACCACCAAACCTTTTCTGACACTTTTTGTTTTTGTTTTGCTAGAAAATGATGTTAAACCTCTAAAAATTATATATATTTTTTTAAAACAGAGGACCTGGAGAATAAAACGGTGGGTGTTGAAATTTTTTATGTCACACAGTGTTTGCGCAGTGATTTTTCAAAACGCAAATTTTTTGACACACAGGGTCCTGATTACCAGGATTCTCATTCTGCTATATCTGGTGGACACAGAAGACATGTGGGGGGGGGGGGAATAGGGTTGCATTCCCACTTGGGAACCCTATGTTGGCAAAGAACCTGCAATGTACGGGTATGTCACTGGTTCTG